GCAGAGCCCTCCCTCTTGGCACCAGCTCCTCAGACTCACCCAGGGCCCTTCTCCCTGGCGTCTGGGACTCCACTGGTTCTGGATTAGCTCTGATCGAGTCACCGCCTGGCACAGCTAGAACAGAGGCCTGCGGAGAGCATGTGACGGATCGGCGCCACCATCACCTCGCCATGAAGGGCAGGTGGCACCAGGCTCTGGGGACAAGCACTGAACTACCCCTCGGGCTGCTGACCGACCGACCGCTGGATCTGGAAGGTCCAGAATCCTCCTGGGCGCTACACTTGCAGAGGTTAGGAGGCTCTGCCCTGCAGGGAACCTGAGGTGTGGCTGTTAAGCAAACGCAGTTGGTTCATCGAAATGCACTGCAGCGGAGAGGACCGAGCAGCCTAAGGACACGTGCTTGGCTTTCTCCCTTCCAGCCTCCCAGTGGCTTCACCCAGAACAAGGGTAAAAGGGAAAGACCCCGCGAGACACTCGCTAGGGCACCCGGCCTGCGGCGTCGGTGTGATGAGAGGGGGGCCCGCAGGTCGCACAGCCCGCAGGCCGCACAGCCCGCAGCGCTCCCAGGGAGAGGAGCTCCCGGGAGAGGAGCCGTGAGCGGCTCCTGGGGTCGCATCCTACCTGCCCTCTGTTTAGCATAGGTGAGCCTCGCACCTGAGCAGGGCCCTCCCATCCCTGTGGGTGGGTTGGGGGCTCCACTACGGATCTACCTGCCGGGGAATCAAGTCATAGCTTAGACCAGGGTTGGCAGTTTTTTCTGTAAAGGCCAGATAGGAAATATTGCAGGCCGTGTGGGCCATCAGACTTGTCATGACGATTCCATCTGCCTCTAGTACAAAAGCAGCCTCAGGCAGTATTGGACCAGTGGGTGTGGCTCTGTGCCAATAAAACTTTATTGGCATCAGCAGGTAGCTGGTGGGTGGGCTGCCACAGTTTGCCAGGTCCTGGTGGAGCCCGTGTCAGACACCAATAGTAAGTCATCTAGGACAGTATTCACGACATTTAATAATAAATCACCAGACTGTGAAAATCAGTAGCTCAAAGGAGGGGCACTGAGGAGGATGAACAATAAAACAGAAAACCGATCCGTCTGCGTGATCATCATAGTGGGGTTGTGTGTGAGGCAGTTGTTAAGAGGGGGCTCGTACTTGAAAAAGGAATAGTGTTTAAAAAATAACCCGGAACTAAAATTCTAAATTAGTATCTTAGCAAAACCGGGGGATAGGGAGGTGGAGGAGGTAACGTGTTCAAGCAGCGCCCCTGTCCGGCCGCCGGTGGGCTCGGTTCCGCTGCTGATGCCAACGGGTCCGTGTGGGCCGGGACGTGCTGTCAGATGCCATGCTCGTGGGCAGCACAGAACCACTGCGTCGCTGTGGGAGAAAACGCGTCTGCCCCGTCGGGGGAATTCAGGAATGGCAACAAAGGGACAGGCAGCCACAGAAATAATAAGTGGAAAACATAACAGAGGATTATTTTCCAACGTGATTCATTCCCACTTTGGTAACTGATGATTCTATGATTAAAAGGTGCTCAGATTGAGTTTAAAAAAAAAAAGCAAAATACACTCTATGCTGCTTGCACAAGACACAACTAGAATGAAATGAAACGAGAAAACAAGGTGATGGGAAAAGATACAACAGACAAATATATATAAAAAGAAAAAAAGGCAAACAGGGTAAATAGTATGCATATGTATATAAATATGTAATTTATATGGTGTCAGTGAAGTTCTGTGAACCTAACCACACAGCTTCTACATGTGAAGCAAAAGCTAGGAAACACAAAGAAGGCGGAACCACGACCTTCATCGCCGTGTGAGACGAATGCCCCGCCTCGGACTGAACAGTGCAGTGGGAAGCTTGGCTTCCGGTCTGTGTTTACAGGTGACAAATATTGATGCAGACGCAGGTAATCCGGACCCAGAGCACATGTCTCTCTACAGTTGTTCCCTTTAGGGACTCCAGGCACATCTCTGAACGTTGCTCACGTGCCAGGACACGAAGAGAATTTAAATGAAAACCCGAAGCTGCCCGTTTAAAGGCGATCTTTACCTTCTCCGACCCCCAGCCCAGAAATTTAGAAATGAATGTCGTGATTTTTTTCAGGCCCAACTGCTGAGCCTGTTACTTGGTTTAAAGTCATCTAAATGTCACTGCCTTTTTGCAGCAACAAGAAGTCAGCTACGTGGTAGTTGAAGTGTGCACTGCGGGTCTTGAGCTGTTCTCACGCTGCCACCTAGTTACGAAACGGAGGATTTGGGGGGAACCGTAGGGCCAGGCTCCAGGTTCCTTAGTCTCCAGAAATTCCACTTTGCTTTGAATAAAATACTTGAATGCCTCCCTGGTAGAAAAAGAAAATCAAAGCAGGACCTACTTCCTCCTCAAATCAAGAGCCAATATCAAAGGGAAAGAAAAGCTGTGATATCTTCCCCCTAAATGTCTTCGTTTTTCTCCCTGTTACAGAAATAGTTATTGTTCTATGTAGAAAATTGCCCAAGATCCGCGTGTTTAGCAGCTTGGTTGAGATGGACGTAACGTGCATAATACTCAGCCTTCCTACGTCCCACTGACGGGGTTTGGTGAAGGGACACAGCGGTGCAACCATCGCCAGGGCCCCCTGAGAGCTCCCCCTTCACCCCACGCCCCTGTGTCGGCGGCCGTCACTCGCTCCGTCCCAGCCCTCGGCAACCACGGATCTGCTTTCTGTTCTCAGAGTTTTGCTTTTTCTAAAAATGTTGTAGAAATGGAACCTAAAAAGTGTGGTCTTCTGTGCCTGGCTCCTTCCCTCAGCAGGATGTTTTTGAGGTGTGTGTCGTAAGATAAGCCTTTTTTCACCCTTGCATAGATCCGCTTACAAACCTCAGCTCTTGCCCTGATCGGTTTCTCAGTGGTTAGAGCATCAGCCCTCAGATTGAAGGGTCGCAGGTTCGATTCCGGTCAAGGGCACGTTCCTCAGTTGCAGGCTCGATCCCCGGTCCCCGTTGGGGCGCAGTCGGGAAGCAAGCAATGGATGCGTCTCTCTCACATCGATGTTTCTCTCTCTCCATCTCTCCCCCTCCCTTCCCCCCTCTCTCAAAATCAATGGAAAAATATCCTCAGGTGAGGATTAACAAAACCTTCAACTGTTGTATTTCACGTTCCGTTATCAAAAGATGTGCAAGGACGTTTTAAAAACAAGGTCTGTCTCTAATTCTGGAAGCATTTCTCCCTCCAGACTCGTTTGAGGCTTCTTGACGTAACTATTAGGAATGTGTTTGGGGTGCCAATCTCAGCAACCTAACTAGAGTGATTTAATTTTTAAAAATTACTTTTCTGTAGAGGCTCATTGTCCAGAAGTAGGTCCCCAGGTGCGTGGGAAGGGGGGAAATCAAGAAGAGGGTGATCATAACTGCTTGTCACCCACCAGCTGTGCCGGGGGCCTGGCTCACTGCTGCCCCCTACAGGACTGGGGTTTTCCAGGCAAAGGGGTTAGGGAGCCCCTGGTGTCACCCCATTCATACAACTTGCTGGAGAACTGCCCAGCACAGAGCCGCTCAGAGGGTGGCCGCAGCTGAAAGGAGCGAGCAGGCACCAGCCAGGACTGCTGTAAGACGACTAAGGTTTTAGCCAAAATAGGACTTGCAGGGCCGGGCCGGTGTGGCTCAGTGGTTGAGCATCGGCCTATGAACCAGGAGGTCATGGTTTGATTCCCAGTCAGGGCACATGCCCGGGTTGCAGGCTCAATCCCCAGAAGGGGGCGTGCAGGAGGCAGCTGATCCATGATTCTCTCTCATCATTGATGTTTCTCTCTCCTTTCTCCCTTCCTCTGTGAAATCAGTAAAAATATATTTTTTAAAAAGTAGGACTTGGAGGTAATGGGGGGAAGGGTGTGAAGCTTGACAGCGACACTGGAGTGGGTTGGGGGGAGGGTAAGCCGCTCCCTTCGTCCTCTCTCTCCGAGGCGGGCGGGCGGCGGGCTCTGAGTCCCTCGAACCTGATGCCCTGCCCCCGCTGTCCGTTCCAGGTGAACATGATGACCCTGGCGGAGCACATCATCGAGGCCACGCCTGAGCGCATCAAGCAGGAGAACTTCGTGCCCATGGAGGCCCCGGCCTTGGAGAGGACGGAGGCGGCCACCATCAGCAGCACCATGAGCTGGCTGGCCAGTTACCTGGCGGACGTGGACCACCTGCCGCACGCCGCCCAGCTCAGGTCCGACGCGCGCGAGAAGTTCCTGGGTCTGAGGTCCTGGGAGGCGAGCGGGTTTGAGGATGCCGGGTGGTTAGACCTCACTGAGCGAGGGAGGAAGCTGCGACCGTCAGCAGTCAGCAGATGCGTGCTTAAAGGCTGCGGTGCGTCTACACCGCGGGACAGCTGTGGAAGGGGCGGGGCGGGGGGCGCTCTCACCCTGGGAGACGGCCTGGAGGGACTGGAGAGCCTCAGGCTGAGCTCAGTGAGCCAGTCAGAGAAAGACGCGTGTACACGGTCTCACGCATGTGGAATCTAACGAACAAAATCAACGAACAAAACAGATCCAGAGACATAGACACATGGGACAGACTGACAGATCCCAGAGGGGAGGGGTGATTAGAAGAGAAGAGATGAACCAAAGGATTTACATGCAGGTCTCCATAACCCATGGACACGGCCGAGAGTGCAGGGAAGGCCTGGGGGCGTGCAGGGGGGAGGTAAATGGGGGAAAGAGAAGGGACGTCTGTAATACTGTCAGCAATAAAGACACTTTTTTTAAGCGAGGAAGCCTTAGGGCTCCCGTCCTTGCCTCTTCCACGGTTTTCCTCCCTGTCTCAGAGCCTGCGAGACAGCGAATCTTAAGGTTCCCCCCCAGAGTCACTGGACTTCCATGGGAGGGTGCTCGGTGGGGTTAGTGTTCGGCCTCGTGCTGAACGCATGGTGGGTGTCCCGTGTGAACTCGCGGACGGAAGGACAGTTAAAGTCGGGTGTGTCCGGCGCCGGAATGAAAGCACATTCCTAACAGCCCCCGTGGCTCCCGGCGGCTCCCATCTGTCTCACGTCAGCGTGTCGTGGGTCGTGCAGACGGATCACGCTCCCCCGTGTCCCCTCTCGTTCCAGAAGCGCGTATAGCGAGCCTCTAACCCCCTCTTCCAACACCAGCCTGAGCCCCGGGGGCTCTCCAGCCAGCGACATGGCCTTCGAGAAGCCCAGCCTGCCCTCCGCGGCGGACTGGTCGGAGTTCCTGAGCGCGTCCACCAGCGAGAAGGTGGAGAATGAGTTCGCCCAGCTCACTCTGTCTGACCACGAACAGCGCGAGCTCTATGAAGCCGCCAGGCTTGTCCAGACCGCCTTCCGGAAATACAAGGTGAAGGGGATCGGAGTTCTGACGGGACCTTCTTCAGGCCCGGGAGGTAGAGGAGGTCATGAGCATTCCCGCTAACACACCGGCCATTTCTTATTTATCTTCTTATTTATTTAATATATTGTTACTGATTTCAGAGCGGAAGTAAGAGGGAGAGAGAGAGAGAAACATCAGTGATGAAAGAGAATCATTGATTGGCTGCCTCCTGCACGCCCCCTACTGGGGATTGAGCCTGCAACCCAGGCATGTGCCCTTGACTGGAATCGAACCCAGGACCTTCAGTCCACAGGCCGACGTTCTAACCACTGAGCCAAACCGACTAGGGCCACATGGGCCATTTCTTCCTTCCCTCTGAGTTTGTAGGATCTTTATTTGAATTATTAATTCATGTCACCTGGGATTATTAATAATTTTCAGAAGCTTTAGTGACATCAATTTGACCAGTAGTGCGATGATTGTCATCATCTCAATTTGTTGTGGGTCGTGAAAACAGACACCATTTAGTTGATATGAAGAAAGTTGATGCCTCTGCCACAGGAATTTATGGCCTAAAGAGGGGGCTCCTAACCGGAGGCCTGGGACCTGGCCTCGGGCAGCCCAGGACCCCTAAAATGTTATGGCAGAGCATCTGTAGGTGCAGTGTTGGTGGAGGCCTGGGGTCTCAGAGGACACAGTGGAGCTCGGGCAGGTCCCGGGCACATGGCACCTTCCCTGATGGGTTACACACTCTGAGTATGAACATATTTTTAAAATATGGTTTCATTGATGCTAGAGAGAGGGGAGGGGAGAGGGAGAGAAACATCTATCGGCTGCTTCCTGCATGCCCCCTACTTAGATGGAGCCCACAGCCCAAGCATGTGCCCTGATGGGGAATCAAACCCGTGACCTCTTGGTGCATGGGACAACGCTCAACCAACTGAGCCACACCGGCCAGGCAAAAAGGAATATGTGTTTTAGGTCACCTAACACCCAAAAATGATGGCTCTATTTAGAAGCAAGAATAGCTGGAGATTAGTCCGTAAATCCATTTTTTGAAATGTATACTTCTCATTATCACCGTATTTTGGTAAACGTGGGGGGGGTCTCATTTCGGATGAAGTTAATGAAATGGGCGATGCTTCTCTTGAAGCCACAGGCAGGCTGACGTTTCTCATACTGAGTCATGGTTTACTTTTCCCCCTGACCCCCCGCAGGGCCGACCCTTGCGAGAACAACAGGAAGTGGCCGCTGCCGTCATCCAGCGCTGCTACAGGAAGTACAAACAGGTAACCACCTGCAGGGCCCCGGGGACTGCGCCCGAGGACACTCCTTTGGGGCTGCCGGGGGCAGCAGGCCGGCCCAGGACGAGGCCGCCTCTGGGCTGCCTTGATTAAAAACAGGAGGAAAATGTACCAGAGAGGGGGAAAAAGACAAAAGGATAAAAAAACATCCAACGGCAACTAGACGTAGGCCACAAAATAACTTTGGTTCTAGTGTTTGGCCTTTGGTATTGGTCTGTGAGGGTCTGTGTTGCCGTAACTTCACCCATAAGCCCCGTGGTGATGAAAGGGCCTCACGGAGTTGACTGTGGCGGCTGGAGGTCAGTGCTGGCTGTCGTCCCTGACCTTGAACTATCTGAGTTATGTCATCCTCAGCCAGTTTCCCTTGCAGCTGCTTCTTACGCATTTTATGGTGACGAATCACAAACATCGTTGAGAACCTTAACATGCGTTTGCAGTGCTCAGTGAGGGGATGCGGGAAGGGCAGCCGCGCGCTTGTTGCTGCCCTGTGACTGTTTCCAGGACAACCCGCAGCCACAGAGCTCCCGCCAGAGGGAAGGGGGGCTGACTCTCAGAGGGACCAGGTCTTTCAGGCACATCATCTCACCTGCTCCTTACCATCATATAAAGGAAACAACTGTATTTCCGTCTCCCAGACAAAGAGGCTGAGGTTCAGAGAAATTAAAATATTAGATCTTGGTAACCATCCCGGGGAGGTGAGAAAATAGAAGACATTGCCTGATGGAGCTTTGAGTGGCTCATGTGCTAACTTTCAGTCCTGTCGGTAGATTCCGGAACCTTTTATCGGGTTGTGCTTTCCGTGGGTTTTAAATGTGTATTGGGGGACTGCTCAGTGCCAAGGTGTATAATCGCACGTAGAAATTCTGGATTATGTTCCCTCGATACGATCCAGGGCTTTGGTGTCCGATGTGGGTTGCCTTTGATCGAGTTTCTCCAGGATCACGCTCTGTTCCTGCATGGGGTGGGGGAGGGGGCCTCTTCAGCTGTAGCCAGTTGAGTTCATGATCCCAGAAAATGAAGGTTTATTGTGTAAACGCTGACACCGCAGTTCCCGCAGCCCGGAGGCAGGGGGCGCTGCTCTGCGCACGGGCTTCTCTCGGTGGGCGGGCTTCTTAGCACAAGTGATAGACACCCAGAATCAGAGCTTCAAGCCTGTGATGACAACAGGGCTCTATTGCCAAGTCTGAGTTTGGTAGTTTGGTATTCTGTGGTTTTTTTTTTTAAATCCCATCCCAAAGAAGTGTCATCTACAGCCAGCAGGACGGAAGGCATCCTTTACTGAAATACTGACCCATAGGAGGCAAGTCTTTTGGCAGGCGGAGGCCTGCATCCAGCCAGCTCGCCCTTCTGCTGGTGGTGGCGGTGGTGGGAGTGTCATTGGTTCTGGCTTTTCAGCTTCCTTCCGTCGAGCAATCTAACGTTAATCTTGTATTCTCTGTTTCTCCCCCAAAGCTGACATGGATAGTCTTGAAGGTAATGCCACACCCAGTCCTCTCACAAACCATTCCACCAGAGTCACAAACTCCACTCCCATCACCAGTGACACGAAGGGGCCATTCCGATGGCAGGGTCATGAATCAGCCATCCCCTCCACCCCCCACCCCCCGCCAGGCCAGCTGACCACAGGGCGCCTGTCCTCCGGGGACCTCATGCTTATTCAGTAGCCATAATTGGACACTGTTCGGGCTGATGTCCATCTGAAGAGCCCATCCCAGCCAGTGACGTGAGCCCCGTGAGCCACAAAGTAAACCGCCCTTCTCCCGGGGCACGCCGCCGGGAAGCCCCAAGGCGCTGTAGGACCGGGCGTCCTTGTCTTAAAAGACTCCTGGACGAATGGGAGTGTGAAGCAGGTGGGGGTAGGCGAGAGGGTCCCTGCAGAAGGGCCCTGTGTCCTGCGCCGCCCGGGAGGCCCCTTCCCTCCCTCATGCCACCGCATACATGCAGACACACTAGGCACAGGGATGTCCTGCGAGCGTTTCCCTCCGATGGTAAGTTGCCCTCTTGCAAGCTGAGCGCTTCCTCGCCCCCCGAGTCGTATTCTGTTTGCTGAGCAACGTGGACGTAGATTCTCACGGACAGAGAGCTCTGAGTCTGTAGCGCCCGGGGCTCCTGCTCCCGTGCCTTCCTCCCTCCCTGAGCCCAGCCCCCGAGCCGGCCTGGTTGGCCCGGTGACCACGGCTCTCCGGGCCTCGCGGCTTCGCTGGCGCTGGCCCTCTGGGTGCTCATCTCCCGCAGGTTAAAGTGGCCCGAAGGTGTCAGCGTTTCATGATAAGCCTTGTGTTTGGGACCTTGAAACTCGGGAGTGTGCTGATGGGCTGATAGTGAGGGGGGAGTGGGAGGCATAACGGCGGGTAATTAAAAAGGTTCCGAGAGTGGGGAGCAAGGATTCATCTTAAACACTTAACATTTACCTTCCATGTGCGTTTCTAAGATTCCTAAGTGTCTAAGTGGATTGCTATTGAGAATTCTTTTTTTCTGCCCGGCCGGTGTGGCTCAGTGATTGTCGACCTATGGACCAGGAGGTCAGGGTTCAATTCCCAGTCAGGGCATATGCCGGGGTTGCGGGCTCAACCAGTGTGGGGCGTGCAGGAGGCAGCGATCAATGATTCTCTCTCATCATTGATGTTTCTGTCTCCCTCTCCTTTCCTCTCTAAAATCAATTTTAGAAAAATCTTTAAAAAAAATTCTTTTTTCAAGAAGGGCAATATATTTGGGGACTTGGGGGGAACAAAGCGCCTTCAAAAAGCAGCCCATCGTCGGGAGGCGGCCCTTAGGTAGTACTTTTCGTTCTGGAAAGGTAGGTGGAGAGAGGCCTGGTGGGCCTGTTTGGCAGTGAAGCCGGAAACGGAGACCACGGCGAGGGGAGAGTGACTCTCGCCGAGAGCCGAGCACAGCCCCACGCGCCCCCGTGGTCACGCTCTGCCTCTGTCTCCGCAGTACGCACTGTACAAGAAGATGACCCAGGCCGCCATCCTGATCCAGAGCAAGTTCCGCAGCTACTACGAGCAGAAGAAGTTCCAGCAGAGCCGGCGGGCGGCCGTGCTCATCCAGAAGTTCTACCGCAGCTACCGGAGGCGGCCAGCGG